CTAATAATGAAAACCAATAATAAATTGAAGAAACATCGTCATTTATGAGCAGCTTTTATTTCTGTTCCTGAAAAATAATGCAAAATGTTACTGAAAATGCATGCAGCAGTTTATTTATTATTGCCAGTTTATTTGCTCAGTTTTACTTGAGTTCTTTTAATACAGAGTAAGCAAATAATTAAGAGAGTGAAATTAAATGTGCAATTTTTGTGCTCAATCCTCGCTGCGGGAAACAAAAAATAAACCTCCGAAACTTTATTAACGTTCTATCTGCAAGGAAGTTCGTAATATACTAGCTAAAACGTCGGAATTGGTCAACTATTCGGATGAAAACATTATTTTTGGGCTTTCTGTACATTAATAAGCAGTGTTTATGCTGTTTCTCAGTATGACCACCAATACACGTAGGAAATTTTCAGTCAAGTTTTCTTTGTGACACAGACAGTGACATTAAGCGCGATAAAACAGACTGCAAGGAAACATTATCGCGTTCCTGTTGAGAAATGTTACATTAAGGATAGTAAAACTTAAGTGATGTAGCAGTTTTTAATGGCAATACAACCTGAAAGGAAGAGATCGATCGACGAATCAGAGTAGCCAAAGGGGTTACACGTGGTCTAACCTGAATGGCTGTCAGCAAAGGTAGAGTTGAGTTCGGAAATTAAACTTTCTACCCAAGTCGATATTCATCTCCATGCTCACCTATTGTAAGGAGTCGTGTGCCAAGAAAAAAAGTTTTGATGCGGGGTATAGGCAGCTGAAATGGGTTTTCTGAGACAAATCGTTGACTTGACGCTCTCGAAATGGCTCGGAATAGGAACATCCGAAAGAGCCGTGGTGCACAGCCACTGTTTCTTTAGAATGAAATGTCAAGCTGCGAATGCTTTCAGAAAGAAAAGCGAATCAGTTTTTATTTGCCAACCAGGCCGGCTGAAGACCCTAGGGATGCCCAAGAATAAATCAGAGCAAGTGTATCGAAGAATTCTGCTCTAGACACAGTTTATTTTCTGCCAAAGCTCAAGCACTGGCTCAAAACCAGAAATTTTGCGCCACGAGCGACCGGAATGGATAAACGGCTATCAAAACAGACTGTCTTTTAATGCAAATGCACTCAAAATTTTTGAAACATGGTTCAATGACTGATACCACTGAAAAGTAGTCTAAGTAGCCATTAAGGGCCGAAAAACGAACTACCGAATATTTCGAAACAGCAGTGAAATGAATACCATGTTAGTGAAAATCCATGAGTCGCACATTTTTTTGTTAATTTTCAATACGCAAAAGAACAATTGGTTTCGTACAAACCCACGTGGTTAAATGAATTAAAGACTCAAAAAGAAATTCGTTATGTGAAGAAATCATACCGTAATTTATGCTGATGATATTCAATAAAATCAGCTGTGAGAAGCAATTCTGTTTGACTACGTTCCAGAAGGCACTATGATGGATTCAGTTCGCTCGCAACTGGACAACGTGTTTAAGAAACAGCAAAAGACGAAAAAAGAAATGTGAAAGAAACGATGTGAGCGCGTTGGGCTTTGATTAATCGCAAACGCATGGGCACAACACATGAAACTTCCAATTACATAAATAACCCCACTATATCTTTGCAATTCAGACTCCTTCTTCGATGCCATTCTGTTCTGATCGAAAATGGACTTTTCTGACCTTTGAAATACTTCGTGCTAAATACTCATGCTAAGCACATTGACTCTTTCTCGTAAACTTAGCTTTCATCCGCTTAACTGAATATTTGATCTTTTCATCTAGTTGTAGATGGTAACGCTGCTTGCCACACACTCCGCTTCACTTCGTTTCCCATCACCACTTCTCCTTTAGGATGGTGGGTACGTGCATCAGAGAGTGTTTACAATGTTCCCGATCCTGTACCAGCATCTGAATATAAGCAGAAGGCAACCGAAGTCTTGAGAAGGCTCCTTCAATACAATTCCCCCAGGTTAATCTTGGCCATCCTCTGGATCTTCTGCCAATCGGTTGGGCAAATAGTAGCTGCATCGCCTTCTTTTCTTGAAGCATTCGCAATACATGCCCAAGCCATCGTAGCTGTGACTTCTCAATCTAAGAAAGCAGCGTCACGACTCTCTAGGATTTCTGTACTTAGGATCATGTCGTT